TAATGGAATTTCGGTGTGCAATAATATTGCCATACCATATTTTACATCCCTGACTGGGTCGTTTCTGCAAGTTGGGTCCTTTTGGCCAATTTTCGGCTGGGTGGACACTTTCAGCGAATTGGTTTTCTTAGGGCAATTTTTCGCTAATTGCACACTTTCGGCCAATCGGGTCATTATCAGGCACTTTTTGGCTAGTTGGTCACTTTCGGCCGTTAAGATTTTTTCGGGAACTATCGGCTAAAGGCACACTTTTGGGTAATTGCAGATTTTTGGCCAATTGGGTCGTGTTCGGATAAGTTTCAGCTAATTGCACACTTTCGGCCAATTGGGTGGTTCAAGAAAACTGTCTGCGAATATCGTCGGGGCCGGCGGATCAAAAAGTGATGCTCTCTCGTATCCTGTAAGACTCAGACAAAAAACTTGCTTCAACAACATTAATATAAGCGCAATTTTAAACAGTTTAACATTGAATAAGAAAATCTAGTTTAGCTTCTTTATTTTCGCGCCAATAATGACGTTATTATTTTAAGCGTAAACACTGATAAAAAATAGCTGCATGATTGTATGTATGTCTATATGTATCAATTAGTGTCTATATGACAAAAGTGAGCTTTTTAGTATTTAACAGTATGTATTCATGCCTGCTTTAGTTTAAAGCTGTTCAACTGCATGTGTCCCTTCTAGGTACATTTTTTGTTTGTTTTTGAATTTACGTAAATATAAATCGGTCTAATTAATTATTGAGATATGTGTCTATGTGAAAACCAGCGTAGTTTTTTTACAAGTGGTTCGACTTCTATTACATTATGTTACTATAGATGGAATTAAATCTTAAATTATAAATCAGTTAAATTTTTCTGGAATACTTTAGAATACTTCACCAGATACTATAGCCTTAAAATGTTTCTGTGTGAGTGCTTTGGTGATGTATTTTATTTTAATTTTCATGTCTATTAAGTGATGTGTTGGTGTGTGTATGAATGAGATTTATCCAAATGTTGTAGGTAAAAAAGTTTGAATGCATTCGCTCAACGAAATAGTGGGTACCATATGTAAGGTAAGTTTGTACGTGCATCTTTTCATTCGTAATTTTGATGACCAAATTTGAGGAAACCTGTATTCATAACTAACTCTAAACACAATTTCAATCAGGTTTTATTTCTGAATTCTCTGAAGTTGCAAAACTGTTCCACTGGACTTTATATAATTTTTAAAAACTCAGATAATTGTGTTTGAGTTGACAAGTTATGTATAATGGTTGGGAGTTTTTTTAGTGCAAGTACAATTGACAATACATACCAGTATTAAAGTGTAATTGTTCTCGTATGTGATTAATTTGCATAGAAGTTTTTTTGTGTACTTTTGTGTTGTTTTTCACAGTCTATCTATGGGTAAGCTTAATGACAGCGTCCTTGTGTGCTTAATTTTTGTATTTTTTCATCTTTACATCTAATTTATTCAAAAGAAAATTTTTTTCATTTATATGCTCAACGAAACATTTTGAGACGATCATCTACAGCTAGAGGTGTAAAAATAGCCCGAAATTTATCTTCATGCCTTTGTCTTGAAAACACACAGTATTGCACAATATACTTCACATCTACCGGATACTACATTGTTATTGGGTCTGTGTTTGCGCTTTTAGTATTGTAAGTATAGTGGTTTGATATGTCTGCGTATTTTTTTGTCTTTATTTTTTCACCTCGCTATCCGTTATGTTTTGTATAACCATCTAGATTTACTTATTTTCACTTGTGCGTTAAACAAAACAGTTTGGGACTTATTGCAGTTTTTTACTGCTAGTATGACTCAAACTCCTCAAAGATTTACAAAGCCTGTGATAGCAATGCTGTTCTCCCGGAGCCTGAGCCTACTTTCACCAAGAGTCCGAATGCTGATCAGCAGGCAGCCTACGATTCCAAGATGCAGGAGCGAGCAGTGTTGATCCAGCAGAGGAAAAACAATCAAAACACTGTGTGGTTTCATATGGCTCTGGTTCTCAAAAACACCATTTTGAAATCAAAATTAACGAATGCGTGGGATCCGATTGATATACCCACTAGTCAATATGAATCTTGAATGTAGCAGACAATTGGGTATTTGACTTCGAAAAACCTTTTTTTGATAAGTTTCCTCAAACAATCCCAAAGTCACAGATTATCTAATACTCACAACGAAACTTCCTTTATCTACGCAAAGATCTGTTTTGATCACTTTTGATTAAGTTTTAAAAAGCAACGATTCTTTTGAAGATCTTTCTTTTTCGTTTTTTGTTCATAGTATCAATAATTTTTCCGCTATGTTACAAATACTAAAATGAGTAAACCAAGTAGCTGTTCACAGTTCAATTTAGAAACTGTTCTAAGCCGTTTCAAGATTCAAGGAAAGCGATCAGAGAACAAAAAACGCACCTTAACGAGATGAAATAGAGAAAATTAAAAAATTGGTATGAGTTGTAACATTTTTTTGAATTGAAGGATTGGATATCTTCCCATAATGGCACAATTGTCTTGAACAAGCGGCTCAAAATTAAAGATGTTAAAATTCCAAGGCTTGCAAAAGTATTCCATAAATTTTTTTCGGAAAGTGGAAGAACAGAATTGCTCACATTGGATTTAATCATTCGCTAAATGGAGTGGCTTTTTGAAAACGTTTTTCGTGAAAAAGACTTGAAACAGACAAACACAAAAACCGAAAAAACTTTTTTAAAAAATAAAAAGCTCACAACATAAATAAAATTGTATATTTTTTCTAGTAGCAGAAAGTTTAGATTGAACATCGTGTCTCAATTAGAGAAAAAAAATCAGAAGAGACAAAATAACTTCACTGAGTGTAGTACAATACAACTGAGTGTACAAACAATTTCTTTCCTAAACCAAAGTTTAATGTCTCATAACACATCCAAATAACTTAGAGACTTGATTTGATTTTTTTTCTAATAGAATTTTGTTCAATTCAATCTGTTGCTCCACTACTTCATGGTATCTTCAGTTTCACTGCTCTCATGAGTGACATTTTCTTAACTTCCGTTAGTCACTGTTTCCTTATCTTCTTGTGTCTACATCTCAATCTCTACGCTCTCTCTCTCTCCTTTTCTTTCGTTGTGTCTGTCATCGATGACATCATTGCCCTTCCTTCAACTACAATTGCGGATGGCTCCTCGCTGTAGCTCGTCATTGAGCTCTCTGTCCAGTTGATTTGTTGTCTGTTTTCGTTTTCTTTGCTCTTTCCCTACTCTTTGCTGATGTCACAAGAGTTTTCGCCTACTGAGTGATCTGATAGTTTTTTTTTTGTATCTGTATTCTGTCTTCATCTCCTCTTTTTTGTAAGCTCTGGGTGGATCCATCGTCCTCACTAGAAAAGTCCAGTCATGTTTCGTTGTGTTTTGTAGAGATACATACTTCATGACCTGTAACAGCGCGTCACCTTTCAAAGCTTTGTTTAATCTCGTCAGTCATACCACTCGTGGCATGTCGCTGCCCCCGTGTTGCTCTCTTTGCGTAGCTGGAATTGGTGTATTGTTCCAATTCTAGGACCTGTCATTGGTATCAGCATTATTTGTTGTTGCTTCCTTGATTTAAATATTTTCACAATCAGGTTCAGTTTCAATATCACACAATTCCAATCTATAGTCTGGTATTCAATGATGATAAACTGTCATTCAGTCGTTTCGCTACTTCTGGTCTTGATATCGTCCTTGCCCATTGAGACTTTGCACCAGTGTCACTTGTTCTGGGTTCATACACGTTTTGTCATTGACTGTAATTCCTTGGATATCGTTAACTTCTCCACACTTGTTTCCAATTGCTGTGAGAGATATTCTTCCGCAGTGTCTGCTCCCTTGATCTGTTTTAGTATAGATCAACATTCCTAAAAAAATTTAAGTTCTCCTTATTCATTTTCCTGTGTTGATTGCTTGTTAGGCTCTTTTTTTTTCTCGTGAAATTCCTCAGTGCCTGCGAACATCATATCATTAACTTGTAACGATGGCAATCCCATGTTGTCGTCTTGTTGGTCTGTAGCGTAAAAAAGGGCAAAGAAATATGATGCATCCCTTGATTCCCAGTTGCTCGAAATTTCTAATGACGTTGGTATACCAGTCTACCGCTGCACCTGCCAGTCCAAATGCAGCCACGTTCAATCTCCACATGTCTCAATGGATTTTCCCGCCTGGTTGTGAAAAGTTATATGGTCGACGAACGCCGTCCGATTGCAGAAAATTTTTTTTGACATCGACAGAGCAGGGGGTCCATTGCCGATTTTAAAATTGAAGGGTGTCCAAAGCAGGGGGTCCAAGAAGAAAACCGAGTTTCAAATTGTCGCAGGTAATTATCCAAAGAGTTATTTTCTTTTTTCTCCATGTCTCCTCTGAAAGTGGGATTGCTTTTCGGCTCCCTGGCACCATCCTGTGCTACTTTCCAAGTATCCACCCATTTGAACTTGAGGACCTTTTATCTGTTACTGATCGTTTTGTTTGTTGACAACTCCTTGATCACTCCATACGACTTCCATTCTTGTAATTCCTCCTGACTGGCGGTTTCAAAAATTTCTCATTTTTTTCCAGTTTTCTTTTAGTAGCTAGTTCAGTGGCTGCAATTAGGTTAGGTTTTCGGAAGGGATGTGTTTTCCATATCCGGTACGTCTCGTGTTTTTCCTTCTGGGCTATGGTTTGTGGTATTTGTTAACTCCTCCTGTCTCACTTGATGCTCTTCATGTATGTCTTTCTTGGTGTTACATCCTCCAAATTGTATCGCTTCTTCGCCAGTTCTCATTTCGGTTTGATCTTTATACCAATTTACACGTGTACGGGAGCACAACATGGTCTTTTATTCTATCTTCTTTCGTTTGTTGTTGTTGTTGGGTATCTTGGTTTAGCTTGTGGCCAGTCGACATTCTTTGTGTCTTTTCTCACCATTATCGAGACCCATCCAGTTTCCATTTCTGTTATTTTGAATTTATATGCGCTGTCCATCTCTTGTTTTGGGATTGTCGTGTGGTACTTCTGGGCCTAGTCTGGTATTATGATGTTTCATCTTTTCTTTGCTCTCCTTTCTCTGTCCTATCTGTCGCTCGTTGTCAATCTTCTGGTTCTGTATTCTCGCATGTTGCACCACTGTTAGCATCTCTCTTGCTAACTATTTCAATTAATGATGCTCTCACAATTATGAAATTAATGACTCCGTTTTTGGGTATGAGATTTGAGGTGGTGGCTGTGAATTGATAGTTTTTTCTGGTACAGTTCCATCTTCTCTCCATTTTGTTGATAAGTTCTTTCTGTTCTCTCTGGTCCTGTCCGTCATAATTTAAAATCAGTGTTTTCTCTGTTTGTCTTTGTCTCTGGTGTTGTTCGCAAAGATGTATCTTCTTTGAAAGAATGAAATTCAAGCACTAGAGAAACTGCACTCAGTGATAGAAATTGGCCCAAAATACCTTGATGAAAAAAACCCGCACCTTCTCAAAACAAATTGACCTCAAAAAGCTCATAACCAGAGCATCAGTAAGAAAAAAAAATTCACAATGTACAATTAGAAGAATTGAATGAACAATTAGATAAATTCTCAAGCTTAGTATAGCCAGTTTAAATTTTTTGGTCCGTTGCTTCTCCACAAGTTTATAGATAGATATTACAACCTTTTTTTACTTTTCAAAGACCACGACAGGAAATTCTTACAATATCTTGCAATCAGTTTTTGTTTCTGTTATCTGTTTGTTCAACTTTTTTCATTGTATGAATATTTGGCACTGATTTTTTGTTTTGTTTTGGTCTTTTTTGACCATTTTCGTTTCGGTCGAGCTCACAGCGTCATAAACTGCGTCTTTTCTATCCCTTCGCAAAGTTTCGATCTGATATATAGCGTTTTGTTCGCATGTTTCACTTGAACTTGAAAACTTTATTTTTCTCACTCCTCCAACTCTCGGGATTTTAACCCAGGGCCTGATATTACCTCTAAATCTACTAAGAGGTTTTTGACTATCATAACGGAAACACTGTTCTGTCTCTGAAGGTTAATATTTCTGTGATGGGTGTTGCATGAGGCTATCGGGAACGTTGGTGCCAATCCGCTGCATATGTGTTTGAAGTATAATGTGCATGTATAACTTTTTCTCCTTGCATGATCCTGGCGTTTGTTCCATTGCATATTGCTACATTTGCGGTTCTAGCCATATATATTTTTTTAAATTTCTTCAATCGAACCGTACCACATCATCCTGTTTAATTTATTTGAAAGTTACGTTTGGTTTCTTGCCTTTTAGTTTTTCCTCGTTTTCAGCTTTAGCAAATGCTTCCCTAACTGCTTGAATTGTGTTGAGATTTGTTTTTAGTTCATGAAAGTCTTTTGTGCTTGCATTATCTAAACATTTTGGAAATTCCTCTTGGTTTATTATGTTAAACGCAGGTGTTGTCCAGTAAACTCTCTGGAATGTTGATACACCATTTACGTCAAGCATCATATTCTTTGTCATATTAGCATATGCTAATAGCACTTCGTTATTTGCAACCAAACGGTGGTCATTTAAACTTTTTCTTTGATGTTTTTGAGTACCCCATTGTATCTCTTTACTACAATTGAATAAGTTGCATAACATGATATGCTGTCTGCTCACTGATGGCTGTAAATCTGCTCATCGTGCGTTCTAGGATAGTCGGCTCATTTTGGTCATCTCCGGAGTTATTTTGGCACCCATTTCTATATTCATCTTTGTAATTTCATGAAATTGAAATATGCCAATAATGCGACACCATATAGGATGTTTGGACTAACCATTCCCAGCCACTGCAGTTTTTTTTAAAAACTTTTTCATATTCTTTATGTATTGGTCCCGAGAAACGTCTTCTCATTTTTCCCATAAACTTATTTTTGATAGCGTTGTGACATAATTAGGATCGCATTATGCAGCATGCATCCATCCAGTGTTCGAATGAGATGATCTACCTGTATATCTTTAGCCTAGACATTGCTATTTTGTTTATTTCTGCGTTTCGGATGCCGCTCATTATGATGTGTGCTGCTTGAACCTTTACGTCGACCTGTACCCAACCTCTCCATCATTCCTTTTCCACGAAATATAATCAACTAAGTATTGGTTTGTTAGTAGTGGGAACTGCATGTACTTCCCTTTGTTCATTCTTTGTATACTGATTGGTGATGAGTATCGCGGTTGCGATTCTTCTAAATATTATATCGTTTCGTTAAATACTAAATTCTGAAGTTTTGTTGTCATTTGTTCCATCCTTCTTCAATATTTCAAATTGTTTTCTCTGATTTTGGCATCTTGATTCCTTCAATGTCTCATTTTTAGTGTCCGACACCATTTCACGGTTGGTTTAGCTGCTTCTGAGCTTACTTACTTGAGGATTCAACCTTCAATTTCTTGGGACATTCACTGTTGATCCCCCTGCCGACTTCTCATTATCTCTTCCAATAAGCCGTTCGTATTTTGTCGTAAAGAGTTTGTCTCTTGTGTTCACTATTCTTCGAAAGCAGGGGCTCGTCTTTTGAATTCATATTTCGTCGAAGGCATTCTTCTTCTTTTACCCCCTTTATCCCAGTTTCGTCTCTTTCAGTTGATAGTATTCTGATACTACTAGTTGACTTAACTACATCTTGCTACCATGCTAGGTCGGTTAGTTTAAAAGGTTATAAATTAACACTGCTTGATGCAAGGATAAAAGACAACTATTCGGTAATGTATTAACTGACGTTATGATTTTTGTTGTCTCTTTAAACAGCTAAATGTCTTTCATTCTCTTTTAGAGGTCAAAGTCGTCATATACTACTTCTCACACTTTGTCAATGCATGTTAATGCTAATCAATTCAAGACATCAAAGCAATCTTGCTTCAAAAAACTTGCGACTGTTCCAGCCCTTGAAGCTAATAAAACATTGTTTCAGTTTTAGGGCGCGATATTTTTTTGTCTTTTTTTTCAACGAATCGATTTAAGCCTTCATGACAAGCCGAGCTAGTTCAGCTCTATTTCATAAATAGTTTGCTTCAACTATTTCAACCTTTTGCGAAGCATATGAAAGCTATCAACAAGTTTTCATCGATTGATCACCTTGCTCCAGAAAAATTTATTTTCTGTTCGAAGCAATACCCGGCAATCAAATCTATTTGAAACCTCAAAAATTGATAGTTTGTTTTTACCGAAGTGGGATCCGTAACCCAGCAAAAAACCACTGTGGAATAAAAAATAAAAATAAACTCCATGAGACCTTTTTTTGTGTTTTTGTTAAAACAAAAACGTTCATTTTAAGTGAACTATTATTTGATTCATAAGAGTATCTCTGGAGATTACAATCACAGCTAGCCAAAATTCGTAACTTTCCTTGAAAATCGGAAGAAAAATTTACTTTTAGTAATGTTGTTTAGACATATTACGTTGACATTATTGTTTCAAATTTAGAAAAAATGATGAAGCATTTGAGCTCTTTCCTTTTGATCTTCAGAAAAACTGTATTTTCAACTGACCGATGGATTTTTCAGTTTATTTGAAAGCTATTGATGATTAGAGCTCACAGTTAGAAAGGTATTTTAGCTAAGACATTTTTGATAAATCTTTGGGACTCGGAAAACACCAATTTGATCAAGCAGGGCTAATTAATGGACTCTAACACCTTGAATTATCACGTAAGCAGTGAATTACTCCAGCCCAGAAGCAATTGCAAAATAGGTTGTTGCAAGCTATTTGATCGCATGAATAGATTATGCGCTATGATAATTTTATAAAAGACAAATGATGAGTTTATAAACTCGCAATTTACTGGCTATCTTAATGCTGAACAAAATCTGAAAAAAAAATTTATAAAAATTTATCAATATGTTAGTTCAAAGTCAGAATATTATTGCTTAACCCTGATACGGGCAGCCATGTTTCGGTTTTTATATTGATCTCAGCTTTGCGAGAATCAGATGATCTCGCAATGATCTCAGATGATCTCCTATCAAAAGGTAGCTAGTGCAATCATTCATTGCTTGTGCAATCATTCAAAACTCAGAATAATAGAACGCATATCAAAGTTTTTTCATACCCATAAGAATCCAAATATTGTTCACTCCTGCTATTGGTGCCCCCTGAGGGATTGTCCCCTCTGTATTCGAATGATAGCCACTCCGGAATCTTCAACCTGGTGCCAGTTAGATCCACAATGGATTTCCCCTCCTCTCCTACACCAGATCCACAGCTTCGTCCTTGCGCTATGCCTTGGAACAAATTTGAGGCTGTCAATGATTCTGCGATAAACTTTTTCTGCTTACTTTTTTATGCAAAATTTCTTACGCTTTAGAAAATTTTGAATCAATTAGTGGTGTTAAATTTTAAAGTGGTGTTTATGTCGGAAACTGGAGCCGTGTCGTATTTTTGTGATTTGTAAACACGTCAAGCTTTACTAAAAGATCTTACGCTGTCCGGGCCAATGTTGCAACCATTACGACTCAAAATGGGAACTTGGCAACCATTGCGATTAAAAAAGGGTGTGTTGCTACTGCACGACCGAAGAAGTTTGGGGCGACTTTACGCGACCCAAAAAACATGGCTCTGACGGTAACCGTACAAACTGTAGTAAAGTTGAAGTTAAATTTCAGATTTTACTTGCTGAACATTAGCACAATCTTTTGAGCGGCCGAACCACAGTTTGACTTGTTCTAGCGTCAATCAAGCGAGGTCAGAGATTTAAAAACGCAAATAATTGTGAGCACTACCCGGGTTGAGGTTCCAGATTCATACCCAGACTTTCGCGACAAACTTTTGGCATGTCCAGACTTTCTTGACCGAAATTTCGCACTTCCAGCCTTTCGCGACCACAATGATCCGTTGCGACTCTCGGGACCGAAACGGGTACAGCACGACGAAAACTCGCTCCCCCTATTTGGTCCTGGCTTTCGTAACCGAAACAGTCAGCCACTACTTTCACGATCAAGGCGGAGACGACGCAACCAGCGCATATCAGGAACCGACGCTAACGGCGCGGCCAAAATAAAGAAGATGTGACTTTTGTGACCAACGTGAAGACTTTTTTCTTGGTCGCACAAAAAAAAGTTTCTCGTGGCATTCACGACTGAAGTGGAGACGGCGCGACTCAAAATTCAAAGGCGAGGCCTGCCTGGCCTGTGCGACTAAAATTTGCCGCCATTTCCACACTTTCCCGACCGAGCTGGAGAGGGCGGGATTTTCGCGACCAATGTGGAGATGGCCCGATTCAGGAAACGGCGCTGCTCAAAATTCGATGGCACGAACAGCCTGGCCGGTGCGACCACAAATTGCCACTTCCAGACTTTCGCTACCAAGGTTAAAGCAGCGCGATTTTCGCGACTGTAGTAGAGACGACGCAACTTTCCCGACCAAAGTGGAGACGGCGCGACTTTACAGACACAGGTGGAGACGGCGCGACCAAGAAACAATTTCTTGCGAGCTTCGCGCGACAGAGGTGGATACAGCGCGACTTTCGGGACCAGGTAGGAAATGGCACGACTTTTGCAATCAAGGCTGATACAGTATGACCTTCCAGACGAAGACAGAGAAAGCTGGGTTTCCGAGCCAAAGCGGAGACGGCGCAACGCAGAAACAATTTCTCATGACCTTCGCAACCGAGGTGGATATGACTCAATTTTGGTGATCAAAGTCGAAACGAAGCACTTTTTGCAACCAAGGCCATGACGGCGCAGAAACAACTTATTGCTTTATTCCCGACCAAGGCGGAAACGGCGCAAAGTTTGGGACCATGTCTGAGGCGGCGCGACTTTCCAGACCAAGGGGGAGACGGTGCGAATTTCCAGACCAAGGCGGAGACTGCTCGACCAAAAAACAATTCTTTGCGAACGTGGTGGTTGCGACGCGACTTTCGACTTTCGCGACCAGAGTGGAGACGGCACAACTTTCCAGATCAATGCGGAGACTAAGCGACTTTCCAGATCAAGGCGAAGACGGCAAGACTTTTGAGACCAAAGAGGAGACGGCGCGACTTTCCAGACCAAGTCGAAGACGGCGCGATTCAGAAAAAAAAAGCTATCGCATTTTTCCAGAGCGAGGTGGAGACGAAGCGGCTCAGAAAACAGCGCGACTCGAAATACAAAAGCGTGACCGGCTTGTTCAAGAGCTTCGCGACGAGGTGGAGATGGCGTAGTTTTTGCATCCAAGGTGGAAACGGCCATGGTAGATTCGGCACGTTTACCACGACCAAAGCGGAAACGGCGCAAGTTTGTAGACCAAGGCGGAGGCGGTGCGACTTTCCAGATCGAGGCGGAGACGGTACCAACCAGAAACATTTCTTCGCCACCGTGGGGGAGGCGACATGACTTTCGCGACTAGAGTGGAGACGGCGCGATTTTCCAGACTGAGGTGGACGGTCCAGACGAAGGTCGAGACGTAACAATTTTCGTGAACAGGGTGGAAACGACGCAAATTTTGCAACCAAGGCGATAGCGCAGCTCAGAAAATTTGTATCGATTCATTTGCGACCAAGGCGAAGACGGCGCAATTTTTGATACCATGGCGGAGTCAGCACGACTTTACAGACTAAAGCGGAGACGGCGTGACCCAGAAAGTTTTGATTGAATTTTTTTCTCAAAAGTTTTGATTCGCGACCACGGCGGAAACGGCGCGACATCTGCGACTGAGGCGGAGACGACGCAAATTTTCAGACCAATGCAGAAACGGTGCGACTTTCTAGATCAAGGAGGATGCGGCGTGACCAAGAAGGAATTTATCGCGACCTTCGCGATCGAAGTGGAAATTTTCCAGACGAAGGCGAAGATGACTTGACTCAGAAATTTTTTCCTTCGAATTTTGCAACCGAAGTTGAGACGGAGCAACAATCAAGACCAATATGGAGACGGCGCGAACTTCCTGACCAACGTGAAGTCGCAAGAATTTGTTTCTTACTGGCGCTCTCTCCACCTTGGTCGCGTCTTCTTCAACTCGGTCGTAAAAGTCCCACCGTCTCCACCTTGATCGCAAAACGTTTTTTATATCGCCGCCTTGGCCGTGCCTGATCATCGCCGACGTGCGTCATCGCCGCCTTGGTCGCGAAAATTGCGCCTATCCCGATGAATTATTTCTTGATCGCAAGGAATTATTTCTTGGTTCGGCCGTCTCCGCCTTGTAATACAAAGTGGCGTCGGCTATGCCTCGGTCGTAGAAGTAGCGCCATCTCCACCTGCGTTGTGTTCTGAATTGAAATCAGAAACACAATTATTAAACTTTTACCACATGTTCTGACTTGAAATCAGAAACATAAATTCTTAAACTTTTACCATATGTTCTGACTTGAAATAATGTGTTTGCTCGGTTGATAAAATATCACCAAAAGCAAACATTACAGCATGTGTTGTTTCTTTCTGATTGGTTTAACCAACAGATGGAATGTTGAAAATATCAAAATCTACGGTGTATAAGTCAAGCGAAAATATACCAAATATCACTTCATCACTTTCTCAAATCTCATAACCACTCTCATACCGAGACCCCCAACCATCCTAATAACCAAAATCTCAAATCTCTATCTCGATAACTATAAATCCACACCCGAATGTCACTTAATATAAAATTGATGTGTGTCCTCTATATTTGAAATAATATACCTATTTACGAGTGAAAGAAACTTTGTCTGTTGAATAAGAATAGGAAAGTCTTAGCAACATTCAGAAAGAACCCTTGTTCTAACTGGCTGCGATTTGGTCGATCGCATAAGTTAAGTCAAGTTATTTTGGAATAATTGGTGCGACCAGTGAGGCACACAAGTTTCAAAAATTTTCAAAATCTCAAAAAAACTGAGATTATCAAAATTTCAAAAAGTTGAAAATTTCAAAAGTTGAAATTAGCAAAATTTCAAAAATTGAAATTATCAAAATTTCAAAAAGTTGAAAAGTTCGAAAATTGAGATTATCAAAATTTCAAAAAATTGAAAATTTCAAAAGTTGAAATTATCAAATTTCACAAAATTGAAATTATCAAATTTCACAAAGTTGAAATTATCAAAAATTCAAAAGTTGAAATTATCAAAATTTCAAATTTTTAAACTTTCATAAAGTTGAAATTATCAAATTTCAAAATTTCAAAAAATTAATTCGGATATCTTAACTTGAAAAAGGTAAGATGGCCGATCACCCAATCACCCATCCTAACTTGTCTTTTGTATCATTCTCAGGAAATGATTCAGACCTAAACGCAAAAGCCTTTTGGACTTCAGTTGAAAATAAAATTGTATTCTTACTAGGGCAACGACCCACAGACGGTGGCGCTCAGCCTAACTATGATCACAGACAAAAAAGTTTGTTTGGATCTTTATTAACAGAAACAGCTCTTGAGTGGTATACTGATGAAGTAACTAATGCTACTACTTGGGCTGAACTAAAAAACTAAAAGATTCACTGATGGTAGAGATCGTTTCAAGCATCGAATTGATGCTGAAAATGCCACTCGACAAGAGGGCGAATTATTAAAAAAATTACTTCCATAGGATTAAAACATCAGTCGACAAGGGTTGGCCCGAAAGCATTGATACTACTGTTCATGCTGATGCCGATGCACAGACATTGGAAAGAAATATACAAACGAGACAAAGAAGTCAAAAGTATATAGACTTCTCAGTTAAAGGTCTAAAACCCTTAGCTCTGAAGCAGAAAGCTCATGAATATATGATAGAAAACCCCAACGCAGGATGGGAAACGTTTACAAATCATATAATTACAAAAGATTTAACTTTTATCGTTGCCACTGATCCTGCAAACAAAACCTCGACAGATAAAATGACATCAATAGAGACGCAAATAAAAGAGTTAACCAAATTGATTAAAAATCAAGAGGTTAGTGCCATAAACGAACAAAATTCATTTCGGCGCCGAGATCCGGATGTAAAAGGCAGACCAAATAATACTCGCTTCTGTGATTATTGTAGGATGAACGGTCATTATATCTCTAGATGCTCTAAGAAACAAGTCCAGGACGAAGTAAACAAACTTCGCAAAGAACTAACAGTAAAAAATGATAGAAAAGTATCATTTGAGACCGACTATAAACGTAACCGAAATTTCTCAAATCAAAGAAATTACAATCAAAACGACCAGTCAAGAAACAACAACTTTACAAATCGGAGCGGTCAATCAGGAAATTATGGAAATACTCCAAATTTCCAGAATCAAAGTAACTATGGTATTCGTTATCATAATAACTATAGCAAAAACGGATATCCAAGAAATAATCAACA